TTACTTAATATAAATAACCAATGTACTCTCTAACGCTCTTCTACAATATGCAGTTGATAATGGGAAAACTATCATCCAGAATTACTTAGAACCGGGTCACAAACAAATGGAGATTATGTAAGGAAAACTCAAGAAGCTAGACAAAAACCTTTCCCTCTAATAACCAAATACATGACCCATGATCAATTTAGGAACTATGATGATCAAGAACTTATGCGCTACAGTATATATACAGTATATAGTATACTATAGTATTAGACCAGGTCGTGGCAGAAATGATCCAACTGTTACTTATTTAAGAGAAATTCACCATTTTTCTTATGGACAAATATGGTACAAAATTTAATTTGATGACGAAATACAAGACCTTCCCCAAAGATTAAAGGAAGTTTTACCCAATAAGCAACCATCAAGATTATTTAATACGAGAAAAAAAATTAAAATACAAAAATTTAAACAAATATCACCACAAGAATACCATGGATTCTATGACAACCTTCAATATGAGTTATACATGTTTTAATTTTATTGTTTAATATTTCTTACTCTTTTGTAGTACCTATATTGTGTTGCTTTAACATTTTGTGATTTTTGAAATAAATATTGAAGATTCTGTAATATTGCTTGTTTTGGTAATACCACGGATTATCTATAAAAATATGCTGAAATAACAAATAACACACACTGTAAATAGTAGTTTAAATATTTTTAATTTTTTCTTTTGCTAGTATAAAGTCTTAATAAACAAACACTATTATATATAAAAAAAGTTATTCTACTCTCAAAGTTTTTTGTCTCTCCTGAAAAGTTGTCATTGTGTTGTTACGTGGTATTGCCGTCAGGCTATTATTTAGCAGTTCCTATAAAAACGCCAACCAAGCACCCAACGTATAAATATATATTCTACATGTTTTAAAAATACTGTTATATCATCCTCTGCTTTGAGTTGTTATAAAATATATAAAATTTTTTTGAAACAAAGTTTTAGTTTTTGGAAATATAAGTGGCGCAGTCGTAGAATAAGCCTAACGATTTTTTCAAATCTCGCGAAATGACCTTCACAGCAAAAAATCGGTGAATTATATTTCTTTATAGTGCAAAATCAAACCTAGAACTTTATAAATTAAACTACTAGACCATACAGACTTTCATTGACTAAAGTTTGAGCAGAAACTTGCAAATAGTGAACCACCAGTTCGGAGAAGCGACTCAAAATCTGCTTCCATCTAAGTCAAAAGAAAAATATGATAAAACTTTTAAACAATTCTGTCAATGGAGAAACAATCAAGAGTTACTATAGTACCTCAAAGTCCCAAAATATTTTCGGATTCAGGGCACAACTTTACATAAGAATTGGCTGTTAAATTTTCCAATGGTTAACCATGGTACAAGTGAGAAAGCAGCCACTAATAACTATTAAATTAGTAATTTCTGACTAATTCATTTTAAGAGAGTATATAGTTATGTTTTTTACTTCTTTTTGTCGCCCTCCCCTATTATGGGGATTAAGGGGATTAATAATAGTGATTCTTATACGAAGGCAACATTTTTTAAATTGAAGTATTTTTATTACAAAATATTAATAATGATTTGGTTTAATACCGTACGTATATGGTTAGACATTTGGATACAATTTACGGGCTTACTCATCCCCAATTATTAAAAAGACCAAAAATTACGCCACAAAATGCTGAAACTTAAACCACTACTCGTCTTTAGCCACGGAATAGACAACACAGTGTTGTCAACACAGTACGTTAATAAATGTACAACTAAACATATGTTCGACTTTATTTGGTAAGGTTAGAATACAAAATATTTAAAATTAAAAGGTTTTTATTCCACGTACACTTGTATCAAGAGTTGGTTTCGTAAAAAGTTTTCAGCCCAAACTGAACACCTTACTGAAACCAAATAACCTTCTGAAAAAAAATATATAACTATATTCCTACACTTGGAAAAAATCGAAAAAAAAAATATTTCATATACAGTGTGTCGCACTTAAGATGAAGACACTCCCATATTTTCCCTATTTGAAGGAATAAAGGTTTGAATTTTTTCACATTCATACATGTTGATGGTTCACATTTTTTAAGCTACTCAACTGAAATCTGAACTTTAAACTTGGCCTACTACAAATTCACAAACAGTTCTCGATATTTTGCTTCGCGTTAGAGATATCGAAAAAAGTTATTGGAAAAAGTTGTTCAGAATATTATTCTAACCCAATATACCAATTTTTATAACAAAATTCGCATTTTTAATTTTTTTTTGATTTTAGTCCACACAAAATTATTACAAGTTCATTTTTTAGTTTGATAATAAGGGAGCCATGGAAAGTAATAATTTGATACTAACTAGTGTTTATGACCGTTAAATAAATAATTAAAACAATTTTTGGAAATTACAAATCAATTATAATTTATTAAATTAAGGAAATGGTATAAAACAATGATAAAACTAATAAAAATAAATAAATTAGAAATGCGAATTTTGCTATGAAAATCGGTATACGGGGTTGGAATAATATTCTGAACAACTTTTTTTAATAATTTTTTTCGATATTTCTAACGCGAAGCATGGCCCCGTTTGTGAATTCGTAGTAGGCCAAGTTTAAAGTTCAGATTTCAGTTGAGTATCTTAAAAAATGTGACCCACCAACATGTTTGAATGTGAAAAAATTCAAATCTCTATTCCTTGAAATCGGTATACGGGGTTGGAATAATATTCTGAACAACTTTTTTTAATAATTTTTTTCGATATTTCTAACGCGAAGCCATGGCCCCGTTTGTGAATTCGTAGTAGGCCAAGTTTAAAGTTCAGATTTCAGTTGAGTATCTTAAAAAATGTGACCCACCAACATGTTTGAATGTGAAAAAATTCAAATCTCTATTCCTTGAAATCGGTATACGGGGTTGGAATAATATTCTGAACAACTTTTTTTAATAATTTTTTTCGATATTTCTAACGCGAAGCCATGGCCCCGTTTGTGAATTCGTAGTAGGCCAAGTTTAAAGTTCAGATTTCAGTTGAGTATCTTAAAAAATGTGACCCACCAACATGTTTGAATGTGAAAAAATTCAAATCTCTATTCCTTGAAATAGCGAAAATATGGGGGTGTCTTCATCTTAAATGCGACACACTGTAGATACATATACATGACTTAAATAATATTTACAATGACATAATAATAATAATACATACAATACAGGGTGTTTTATTAATATTGCAAAAAAAATCAAAATCTTATGCTCCTTGCATTAAAATAAGAAATAAAACTTCCTTTTAACTAATTTCCACAAAACTCTTCGTTTTTAAAATACAGTTTTGCTCTTTTTCAAAAATATCTGATTTTTCCCAATAACTAAAACAACTACTTCGATTTTTTTAAACTCGTATCTTTTTATTAACATAATGTCCAGCTTTTGATGTACCTATTAGGATTTTATTTATTTATTTCAATGGCGTATTTACAGATCTAGAACTTTTATTATGTTGTCCATTATAAGGGGTCATCCATTAATTACGTGAGGTGTTTATGGGGGAGGGGGTCCAGCCAAACCTCACCCAATTTCACGTGGGGGGAGGGTGGTCTCGGCAAATATCACGTAATTTTTTTTCTAAAGAAACAGTGTAAAAATGCAAGAAAACGAGGTAAATTAAGTAAAAAATAATGGAATCAAGCACAGATTAACTTATTTAAACTTACTTATTAAAACTATACATTTAAAAAAATGTCACGTGAGATTTAGGGAGGGGGAGGGGGTCGAGCAAAATCTCACCACATCTCACCAAGGAGAGGGGGGGGGGGTCGAAAAATCGCCAAAATTGCCTCACGTAATTAATGGACGCCCCCCTATATCTCTCGCACTCATTACTGTTTTTCTATTCACTAGTGCCTCCACTTCTACTTTAATTAAGTAAATAAAAAGCCAAAAATTAGGTATAAAAATAGTTTTATACACTGCGCCTGTTTTTGCTTTCGAGCAACAATTGTTTTTAAGTACAGCCTGTAGATAAGGGTGTATTTTTTATTTTCCTATAAAATGCCTTTTAAACTTGTATTATTGACAAAAATGTTAATAATATATCCATGTTGTTGCCCCTTCATTTCATTTTCTTTTATGTTTCTAGGCCCCAAAATAAATAGAGTGTAAATTTCCTCAGAAAAAAGTTCCCTCTACCTTGTTAAGCCCTTTACCCAAAACCTACTGTTTCTATTTGAAGAGCAACCACATAATTGAAAAATTTAAAAGCAGAAAATAAGTTGAATATGGTCTAAAATTTAAAATTCTTCAAAAGTATTTAAAAAATAAGACAAATATTTTTTAAACACAGTTTTGGTTTTATTTTATAATCCTTATTATTTATTAAATAGTAATTTTTTAATTATCTAGGTATTATATTAAAATATAAACATTTAGGTATGTAGGTATGTTTTTAATAATAAAAAAATATTCAATAAATATTTTCACCCAAGTTTAACATGGTAGTAATTTTATCTTTTAAATTTTTTATTTTTTAATTATCTTTGTTATAGGTATGTTTACCTTCTGAATTTATTTTGTCATATACAAACAAAAATACTGTCTATTTTTATCCATATAACCGATTTACATTTTAGATTATTTGATTGGCCAAAAAACAAATCTAGTAAACCATGACTTATATTAGCGAAATTATTTTCTATGGTTAAAAGCAAATGTTACAAATGTCAAATAAATCTTGATGACATTTTTATTGCTTTATGTCTAATTTAAAATGGCAATGTATAGAAATCGTTTTTTTTTAGGGAAACTATAAGCGTGGAAAGATAATTACCCAATTTAATTTATAAAACAACAGTTTTTAAAGAAAAATGCTGCGTTGCCATGTCGTGCAAAAACCTATATCCACTAATATGCTAAATCAGTTGATATAAATAAATCAACGTTTCTGCATACGGCCCTAAGACGGCTAAGAGCATTTTTATAACAAAAAAGTCTGAAAAGTACCCTGCTTTACTTACTTGTTAAATTGCGAAATTTTATTGCGACTAATGGCGAAAAATAGGAATGTATGGAAAAATGTGGAAAATAATATCCAGAAAATCCTTGATAGGGGTAATAATCTATAATACCCATATGTTCAACATCTGCAGCTCGTTTTCCTTTGCAATGTACCCATATTCTCTGAAAAGGGAATAACAAAATTTATTAGTATTTTTACTTAGTAATGTAATATTTTAAAAAAGCCATTTCCAGTATTAAAAAAGTTTATCTCTGCATCAGGTTTTTAATATCTCTTCAAAACAATATTTTGTAAAGGATGTTTAACCCTCCGATCGGTGATAGTCCAGATATTGGTTAAATGGGGCATAAGGGACGTTCGAAGAAAGATACTTAGGTGACACAGATTATAAGTATGCTGATGTGTTCAATATACATATATCTCTTGATGATTTTGTGTGTACTTTATGGTAATATGAAGTTCCCAAATGTATGCATACATGTAGACAACCAAGTTTAATAACGTAGATTTATCCTGTACTTTTGGAATATGTAACAAAGATACAGTCACGCATCCTTTGTGTTTGAACAATGGCTGGGACTATGCGTCCTCATGGGAAACGCGTGTTCTCGTCAATAGAGTTCTAACCGCCAAAAGGGTTTCATACTGCGAGGTGCTGTATACCTAAGTAACAATATAACGGTGTATGCCCATTTGCACTATAGCAAAATGTGTTTAGATAGCTATTGAAAGGTTTCGATACAATAGACAAAACGCTCTTGTATCCAGTAATAATATTATTATAATATTTTTGGGGATTGTTGGGAGGGGAAAATTGTACTTGTCTTGTTACTATTTATAAATCTAATTTATTTAAACTGAGGACGCAAAAGTCCTAGTAACAAAAGTTAACTGAAACCATGGTTTGCGATAATAAGTAAACAAATCAATACATAAAACGCTAAATACCGCCAAGAACCTTTTGTAAAAACTACATTGTTACAAAAACAATAAATAAAGAAAACAGGCAACCATACTTATTGTGTTTTATTACTTAATCTAATCTCCGGAGATTAAAAGGCCTTTTATTCGCACTCCACCTATCTAGAAGCGAACTTAAATTACACGACATAGGGTATCCTTCTCGATTTACAAGACGATCACCTCTCTTGGCCAAACTTGACAACACTGCATACGCTGTCAAGATATAAATTAAGTTTACGCGATTCGTCAAATCGCCCTAGGTTACTGCCGTTTCCATGAGTGTGGGGTACCCCTACCCCGTGCACTCACATGTTATATTTGTGTTAATAGATACTAATATACATTGTATATCGACCAATACCAATACCAACTTTTCCGTTTGATAATTGAGAGATTTCTGTTTGACAATTGGCGTGAAAAAAAATATTTATTGGAGGCTATATCTATTTCACAGATTTAATATAGATCTACCTATTGGGGTAAATAACTCATATTTTACAAAAATTGTAGAAGTATTGGTAGTAAACAGGCGATATGGTACTCACAGGTAGTCAGGTAGGTAGCCTAGCTTATTGATTGGGATGTTTAGCAGGAACCTTACCCTCTAAATTATATAGAAAGTTCGTACGGACCTTAAACCTAGGAGGGTTAAACTTATTTAACTTAAATAACTCACCGGTTCGCGACTATTCATTTTAATTATTTTTTGTAAATCTTCAGGCATTTTAGGTAGTACTTTTGAGAAGTATACTGGTTTCCATGTGGGAATCTAAAATAATCACAGAAATTTAAAAAATGGACCTTAAAAAAGTGTTAAAAAACTGAACCAAACAAAACCTCGAAGCGACAATTGTTTGTTTTGGGTGTTTTTGTTAAAATACAATGGTGGTTTGTTTTTCGTTGGGTTGTGGAAGTTATATATGTTATAATAACAAGAATAAAGAGTCTTAAATAACCTTTCACAGATAACATAACATTTTACTAATAAAATTATAATATTGATTTTTAATCAGTTCCTAAATGTACAAATAAATTAAATTTAGAATGATCTAACTTATAATTAAATTATGCATGAAACTGTTAAGTTCATTTCAGTTAAGATTCCGTACATATATTTGGCAGCCGATTAAAAATACGGTATGCATTAAAATTGTGCTTTTAAGTGTGATTAATATTTAAATACTGACGGTACGCCAGTCGAATAGTAACACTTTTTTTCTGAACTATCCGAATTTGTTGGTGGACTTCCTGCGAGGGAGTATTGCTAGTTCCCTCTTCGACTGGAGCCGTCTTTTTTCTGGTGAGCCTTTGCCTTCGCGCTTTGTTCTTTTGTTGCAGGACCTCGCAAGAAGCCTCATCAAGTCCAAAGGCCAGGAGCTTCCTATTCTACTCCTTTCTTCGGTGGAACGTTCATAGATTCGTCCTGAGTCCAGGGTTTTGTCTATGAAGACTGGTGGAGGTGTCGTCTGAAAGCCCATGCACATCCACCACCAACCATTGCACGCGCAGCAATGCCCCTTCCCAAGTTTTGATCGAGGAGATGACTCTCTCCAGCTAATCCAAAGTCCACTGATCCCGCCATTTAGCCATCATGGTTTTTTGCGGTGACCAGCGAAACTGTTAGAATTGGGGGAAGGGGTCTCTTCCCATTTGATCAATGTTGTCGTTTAGTGCCCTCATGATCTCTTTACTCTGTGGCTCAGTGATCACAGTGTCCGGATGAGCATCTGGTGTAATGGTCACCCCGAGACCAGCAAACGTTGCAGCGCTGTACTAAGCCATCCCAAGACCTACTGGTTTGACCCCGGAAGCCTTGCGCCTCTTTAACTATGCCTGTCCCCACCTTTGACCCAGGGGTGCTTTCCTCAGATCTGAGACTTTTCTCCCGAATTTTTGGGTTTCCCCTACGTCAAAGCAGGTCTTTGGCCTTTGACAGAGCCTAAGCCTCCTTGCTTAAGTTTTTGCTGCGCCGCTTCAATTTCTCTTTCGAGACTTGAAAGCAGTCTCACCTGGCCCCTTAGTAGTGCTTTGTGGGAACCCCTCTTTTGAGGAGCCCGCCACCTGAGATCCCACTTGGGAGCCCAGCTTTGAGGTCTCTCCTTGCGAAAGCCCTTTGTATATTTGATATTTTTTTTCATACAAATGCCACAAGTAGTACGGAACTAAAGCATGTTTAGCCCTGCGGCTATCCAGCTTTCAGCACGTTGCATACTCCTCAGCTTAGGCAAGGCTACTTACTGCAAGGGAGTGCCCATGTCCCAAGAGGTCCCCTTATCCCTTACCTCCCCTAGTTTGTCGCGTAACACCAGGTAATTTAAGCTTTTTTTTCGGGGCTAACTCCCCTAGATCCGCAGGTCTTTTGCATCACCTTATGCTGGGTGTGTCTTATGACACGTACTGGCGGTCCTAGCTGGGTAGAGGTTAAGGGCTTTCATCGACCTGCAGTGTCTTTAACTAAGTCACTATTCATTATTTAAGTTAAGGTGCACTCTTAAAGACACTCTAAATTAACTAAAATATTGTCTTAAAGTTCATACATATATTTTTATGTTTTGTTAAATTTATAACCTTTTCTAAAAATTTTCTACACAAATTTATTTTTGTCATGGAAAGTTAGCCATCTTGCCTAAATTGAAACCTTTAGAGCTTTAACTATTTCACTTTACTTAAGTTTGGGATCATTTAACACCTACGATGTTTTTTTCTGAAATATAGTTAATGAATAGTATAATATATATAAAGAAATATATCACGTTAACAAAATGTTAAAAATTGCATTACCTTCTAATAATAAAACTCAGTGTGGGGCAGTTTGCACATTTTTAATAACCAAATGCTTTCGACGACATGTTATGTGCTATCTTTAGCAAATTAAATATATATGTAGTTCCAAATTTTGTCCAACAGCCAAATACATATTAAAAAAATATAGCTACCTTATTAATTTTTAAATAAAAACACGGCTGCATATCATCGTATCCAAAACTCCCGGAACTGCAATTACCCAAAGACTCTCTTTTAAAACGACATACATCATCGCTTCCTTTTTTAAAACCTGGTGTTTCACAGTCTACTGTGTAGGAAGAATTGTTCATGTTTTCCAAATGGGTATCGTACACTAAAAAATTATATGATTAAAAACCAATTAATAAAAATATTGGAGTTTCAAAATATTGTATATGACTATGCTTCTTTATTCTGGGAGTGGTCAAGACGTCTCTTTCGTCGTAGAAATTTTGGAAGAATAGTTAAAGAAGGAAAAACCACTACACAACAACGGCTACGCTCACATGCGTCGAGCTTCGCCAAGTTATAACGCGCGGACTGTACCTCGCGCTGAAGAAAACGGAACTTTTTTAGGTTGATTGTGGTTAATCGGATTTGCGCAAAGGGATTTTCGCCGAATTAGTCGTTCGAAAGTTCCCAGTGGGAACGTGTGTTTGGCCTGTTTGTTTGTTTTAATTCTTTATTTTTATTGATGATAATACAATAATTATATATAAATATATTGTACGTATTTAAATAATTATAAGGTACTACTTTGTTACCTTTACTTTTTTAATTTAATATATTTTATCTACTTCACCATTGATAATCTGTGACTTTATGACGTTTTAGTCACGGGCTGAAGTTAGCAACAGTGGCTTTTGGTCATTTTAGTCACGGGCTGAAGTTGGCTTTAATATTAATTGGGAAAAAGTGAGGTTAAATCCGTTGACAGTTGACGGATGTCAAATGTTTAACAAATAAAATTGGCTTTAAAATCTTATTTATGTTCGTCGTAGATAAAGTATAGTATGCAACTCGTTTTTATTAAAAACTCGCTCGCAAGCTTCGCTCGTTCTTAATTAAACTCGTAACTAAAATGGCGTTTACAAAACTTGATACATAATATACTATTTTAAAATAAACTGCGCACCACTCAATGTGTCGCGACCAAAAAGTTCGTCCTTTTTCAAAACGACATAACTTTTTTGTTTCTTAAACGATTTTATTTTGGTCTGTGATGTCTGCTAACCCCATCCTCTGGCAATTCATGCTATAGATATTAAGCACACGGGTTTTCAAGTAAATTTCCTACAGGGTGATATGTAAAACGGTGAAAAATTTCAATAACTTCATCCAAGCCCCGTTTGTAAAACAATATTTTTTTTTGTTTTTACTTTGAAATAATGAAGTATTATTATGTGTTACATTGAAACGTTTTTCAAATTTTTCGAATTGGAATCTTAGCAACGAAAATATGATTTTTTTTCCAAAAGAGTACATTTAAGGCATTTTGGTAGGCAATATACTTAGTCTTTTTAAGAACAAGAAAATAAGATGGTAAAATATTGTTCCTTGAATAGTTCTGAACAAGCGACAAGCAACAAACTTCCATTATTTTCAGAGGGGCCTAAGCAAAGGCCACTTTTTCAAAATGACATTTTGGTGAAAATTTGCGATAACTAAACCTGAACCGATATTTACGTTCGTGACATGTTTTCTTTATAATTTTGACCTCCTGATTGTGATTCAGTTGTTAAATTTAAGTTTCAGATAAAACCAAAGTCATCAATAATCAAAATTCGAAAACAATTCCCTGTTGTTAAATGTCTTAATAAAATTGCTGTCGTGTTTCTTGCATATTTATGATAAAAATGCCATTTGGGGATTCATTTTTTGAGCGAAATTACTGCAATTTGTTTGAGTGGTTAGGATAATGTTACATAACTTACATTTACATTGCGCAGTAGTGATGACATCATTGATAAGTAGCTACCTAATTGGTAATTATTAATAAAGTTAAATAAAAATATTTTTGTTCATTTTTAAATTGTATGCGTGGATATAATCATAATCAAAACTTCAACATTCAACAGAAAAATGTAACAAACAATAACAATAATACCTTTCAATATTTCGTTGGACCTCCCCTAAGCCTTAATAATTCTTTAACCCTCCTGGGCATTCCCTCGACCAAGTTCCTTAGAAATTTCTGGGGTACCCCATTCTTCCTGAATAGCATTTACCAATTCATCCAAATTTTTCATGACTCCTTCCCTCTCTTTCATCTTCAATTTTATCCTGCTTCACACATGCTCAATAGGATTCATATCCGGAGACAAAGGTGGCCAATTTTCTCAATATGGTGGTCCCTTAAATACTCATTAACGAAATGTAAAAAAACAGTAAAAACCAGCAATCGGATTTTATTGACACATATGTGTCAGCCGGGAATTGTTTTAGAATCTTAATTCTTAGTGATTTTGGTTTTATCTGAAACTTAAATTTGACAACTGAATCACAATCAGGAGGTCAAAATTATGAAGAAAACATATTACGAAAGTAAATATCGGTTTAGGTTTAGTTTTTGCAAACTTTCACAAAAATGTCATTTTCAAAAAGTGGTCTTAGCTTAGGCCCTCTGAAAATAATGGAAGTTTGTTGCTTGTAGCTTGTTCAGAATTATTTAAGGAACAATCTTTCACCATCTTATCTTCTTGTTCCTAAAAAGACTGAGTGTATTGCCTAAAAAAGCCTTAAATGTACTCTTTAAAAAAAAAATCATATTTTCGTTGCTAAGATGTCAATTCGAAAAATTTGAAAAACGTTTCAAGGTAACACATAATACTTCATTATTTCAAAGTAAAAACGAAAAAAAAAATATTTTTTTACAAACGGGGCTTGGATAAAGTTATTGAAATTTTTCACCGTTTAACATATCACCCTGTTACTTGACCAACCGTGAGCTTCATATCTATAGAAAAAATTGCCAGAAGGTAAGGCTAGCAGACATCACAAACCAAAATAAAATCGTTCAGGAAACAAAAAAGTTATGTAGTTTTAAAAAAAAATGAACTTTTTGGTCGCGACACATTGAGTTGTGCGCAGTTTAGTTTATCAATAATTTTGCGATACGATGAAATTTGGGTACACTTTCTTTACGATAAAATGAACAAATAGCCAAAAAAATTTAAAAGTAAATATTGAATAGGCGCCACTGCTTTGCCAAACACGTGTTAAACTGAAGTTGAAGGGCGGTACCCTTAGAACAAAAAACAACAGGAAGGAGCATTTAATAAATGACCTTGGGTCCAAAGTGGAGCTTCAATATGGCGGATAGTTGTTTCCGTTTGACAGTGGCGTAGTAAATACAATTGAAGTTTAATTTTTATAATAATTAGGTTAGTATCAGAAAATATGATACGCCTATGGTTTTTTCTATGATGGTGACGTTCTTAGGTTATGGTTATGTTCTAAGGTTACGTTATTTGACATTGATTAATGTTTAATATTTACAACTAATTATTTTAAAATATACAATAAGTAAATAAATTAAACGTTAACCAAAATACTCACCTATGAAATGTAAATGAATATTTTTAATTTTTGTGCTCAAGGAGCAACCACAAGCTGCACAACTAACCATAATTTGTTTTTACACCTTAAACACTAATATTTATATCTTAAACTTTAAATATTTACACTTAAACGAGAATATATCAAATACAATATTGTCTAGAAACAATGAAACGCTTATTTAAAGTTAATTTAACCAGAAAAACAACATAAAACACCGACAAACACATAAAACATTCAATTTTGACAAATATAGCATCACAAATGTGTCATAATTTGGAGCTTGCAAATGGCCGACTTCCGTCGTAATTTTAGTACGGCTAAAGAATGGCAAGACTCCTTCCTGTTGTTTTTTGTTCTAAGGCGGTACCATTACGAAATTATGTCAACTGAGCATAGGGCGTTCTCGCAAGTTATAACGCGCGGAGTAATTTGTTGCAAGTCAGTACGCACCTTAAAACAAATGAAGGAAGACAGTTTTTAAATTTAAATCAAAGATAAAAATTGTAAATATTTTGAGTTTGGATTTCTCCTTAATGCAGTCATAGAAGATTGGTATGGTAGTGGCCCTATAAAACTTGTATGTATGATTAAATAGTTGTTATTTCATTTGTTGTATTTACAAATTTTCTGTAACTTTTTAATTAAATAAGATATTCTTAAAAATAATATTATAATCAAAATCAAAACCTTTAAGCTTGTCCTCTATAACAGTGGTGTAATCTACTATTTTCATGTATCCCTCTCCAGTGGTTGTTGTGGAATACCATATTACAGATGATCCTTTGTTTATTTTGGGAAAAAAGGATAAACCTAAAATTTTAAATAACCAATTTAAAAGTAATTTATTTATGCAAGTATTTTAAAAAAATTATTAGAATATAATATATATTAGTACTATAGTATTAGCCAAACAAAACACAAGGGCACACATAAGAAGCCATTAATCACTCAATTTACGATAAACATTATGCAAAAGAAACCATCTTAAAGAAATAAACATCTTTAGATTACTAAGACGTAAGGGGACCATAAATTAGGTAAATAACCGTTCCATGAGTAAATAAACAGCCGCACCGCACAGTGAGGTAAAAATTCGAGGGTATCGGCAATTTCAATAGGTTAAACAAAGGCGGGACAAACAGCTGCTTATAAAGTCGGTACTCGGCAAGAGGGGCTGAATTTCCACGTAGTCAGAGGGCACTAATTACGGCAGGGTGCGGTCGGCTACACTTCGCTTCTGAAGATAAGACTCAATACCGCACAGGGGGGCAAACAATTCTAAAGCGGCTACCAGGAACCGAAATCTGACTCGGACAGCGACGAACAGGAAGTACACCATCAAGGATAGGCTCTAGCAGCATACTAATCCACCTACCCCCATTCAGGAATCCCAACTGAATGGGGTTACTACTAAAGCCCTGGTTGAGGAGGATTCCGGATTGTACTTAGTTTTGAGTCAGTTCAATGTCCCCCAAAAACCCTTCCTAAACTGGACGTATGGCCCGACCCGGCTGACAAAAATCCGTGGAGCGGCCTTAACCATAGACACTGTCATCCACGACCTCCTAGGGTGGATCTACCAGCCGGCGTAAAAACTTCGGATCCAACAAACACAGGTAATGCTGTGATTTGGCGGGATACGCAGGAGAACGGAAAGGGGGTAAAATAATCCTGGGAGATTAGTGGAGGATAATGTCTTTGGGGCCTGCCATACGTTCCCATACTCATACTCATACTCATACTATAGTATTAGTCAAACTCAATATATGAAACAAAACTGTAAATAAAGTTCATATGAACATATGTCCCGAAATGCTTAGTTATAACTATAGTTACACGCGAATTTTAAATTTGCGATAATTTTGTAACAAATTTCTTTTTAAAAAGAAACAATTTCCTATTGTATACGATTTGTCATTAACAACGCCCTTAGTTCATTTAATGTGCGAACAATTGATGGTGGTCTTTTTTTAATAAAAAAACACATTTACTCATGGCGAAAACATTTGAGGGGCACTGAATTTCCATACATATTTCCTGTGCAAATTATCGCAAATCTGACATTGAAGGCAAAAATTACGATTTTTTCAAAAATGTTCTTTACCAAAAAGACTAAAATCGTTCCAATGGAACTCGCTCAAGAATTCCGTGCCAAGAAAACTGTGATTTATACGGTCCCGGAGGTCTTCCTCGTCTAACTTTATTTCAACCACAACCACCGTGTGCATCGGGTAAACCTACCCTGATACTTTAATTAAGACATTAACAAATATGTATGGTTACCTGGATTGACCGGATTTCCTGAAAATTTATTAAAGTAGGGACCCTCATCATGTAGAAATTGAATACATGTAATATACGTTATTGCAAATCCAGCGCCAAGTATCACCAAGGTAAAAATAGTTACGTATAATAACAATCTACCTAAAAATAAAGTTGTATTATGGAGGTCAGTAGATATAAATATTATTTTTAATTTATTAATATCTTTGCCCTATTCTTGAAGATTAAGGCTGGTCCAAGGACATCCTTGCTGGGTTATAATATCAGAATTGCAAAGAACTTCACCACATGGGGCAATTTAAAATAAGACTTCCCTTTATATCTTTGATATATTGAAAAATAATGCCATTTTGTATTTAATTAAAATAAACACCAAGTTGGTGTCACCAACAACAGCAAAAAAGAAATACAATTGAACAACGTTTGGTTGTACCGTTGAGATGTACCCTTCATCAATCAACGGTTGTACATTTCAAGCTCTAGGTGTAAGCACTGGAAAAGTTATTCGCGTTCTAACTCCAAATTTATGTTGAAGGAGGGCTTAAATGTAGCGCAAATAAGTTAATTACGTTTTTTGCAAATAAAAAATACTCTCTTAAAATGAATTATCACCCAGCGGATCTGGAAAACGCAAATTTAACGTTTAGTTGTGCACAAAGCAAACGCAAAATCAACTCAAAAATTGCAGGTTTTGTGTCAATATAGCGTTTTATTTGCGTTTATTTGGCGTTGACTTTTATGATAGTATGGATTGGAATTTAGTTTGCGTTTAATTTTAAAATTAAACGCAATTACAATATTATACCTTATAGATTTGCGGTTATTTTTCGAAATTAAATACAAATATGTAATCTTTTTATTGTTTTTGTAAAATATGGTCAAGTTTGCATTTAAATATTTTTTTTACGCAAATCGAACGGAAATTCAAACTAAATATGGGCTTTTTTGTCGATTTCATTTAGCGTTGAAATTTGCGTTTAATTTCGAAATGTAAATGCAAAAACAATAAATATTGTTTGGGATGGTTTTTATGAAAACTCTAGTTTTGGGTACTTGCAAAAATTTATTTATTTATATTATAATATGCTTAATAAATAATACCAATAAAAACATAGTACAACACCGCACGTTCTTAAAAAAAAATTAATATGATTAAGGGTCTCAATTAAGAAAATCTGAGATTAAATCATCCTTTAAATCATTTATTTACTCTTATTAATTTATACATGGCTGTATGCACAGAATATTTTCAATAAATGTCAATCTTTAATTACTGTTCTATCTTTTAAATATTTTATATATTTATATATACCAGTGTATTTCTACCCTGGGAATCCTTATCCCTTCTGGGTCGCAAAGTCACAAAGTCACTTAATATTTCATAGAACAAACCGCACTCCACCAGTGACAAAACCGAACTAAAATACAAAATTTGTATTGTATTACAAATGTCTATTGGTGATTTTTGCAAATATATGGTCGCCAGAGCAAGATAGAAATCGCCCAAATTGGAATGGACCAAACTTTTTGTCAAAAAGGGTGGGGTCCCTACCGTAGAGATCGAGTAAAGATAATTTAAATTACATTTAAGTTAGGTTTCACAAAAATATACAGATATAAATTTTTAATGCTTTTCTTTCTGCCTGGATAATTAAATATTAATGTATAGTCCACCGCCGACGGTGGACTAGTGGTTAGTGCTGCTGACTACAAGCCGAGAGGTCGTGGGTTCGAATCCCACCAGGGTTATGGCTGTTTATTTTTGTTTGTCCATTGTGTATAGTCCTTCGGAGGGGACTTTAAGCCGTCGGTCCGTTCCTACCCCTAACCCGCTCAAGCCATTCAGTTGACTTCTGGGTCTTCTTAGGAAGTAAGGGTGGAACTAAAAGAGCACTTTTGTATATTTGTATGTAAATGTACTTATTTCGTTGCCTATAAAATTCCTAGTTTTAATTGTGGAAAAATGTTCAATAGTTCGTGAATATCTACAAATATCTATAAATACCTATACTTATTATATAATATTTGTACCTATAGGTATATGCAGCCCGTTCAGAGTAAAACCTCCAAGGCGCGTCACAGTAGCTTGTGTGATAAACGACATGACGAAAGGTCGAGCAGGTAAGGACTTAAAAACTAAATGATAATGATGCAAAAAATCTCATTAGCGATGCAGGATATTTGCTTAGCTACTGTGTCGAAAAAACAAGTTGAAAAAAGACGGGGCACAGTGGTCGGAAACACAAATAGCTGGCCAAAATTCAAATAGAGAGCGAATTTATTTGAAAATAAATACCCTTGTTTTTGGGGTCCAAGAATTCGAATTTGAGATCAAAATAGTAAAAAACAAAATGGCCGCCACAAAATGGCGGAAGAACTTTAAAAAAACTGACGTCACGTTCGAAAAAAAGTAGTAGTTAGGGATTTTCGGGGTCAAGGACCTCAAATTTGAGGTCAAAATGATTGAGATCACGATGGTTACCACAAAATGGCTGTTTGTTTTTGTTTAAAATAACGTTGCACCTGTAAAAATGACTGTTAGTGTTTTTTACAAAATAAAAACAACATTTTATTTATTTATTTAATTTAATTTAATATCAAATTAATTAAATTAATTTTCTCAAATAGAATCTTCATTTATATATAAACTTATAACGTTATAACTACATCGACATCACTCGGATATTCCAAATGCTACAAGTTAAAAGTAACGCTAAATTAAAAACTTTATCAACGCAAAATCAACGTTATTTTCAACAATATGTATCTCGGACATTTAACAGTCAATATTTTGATGACTTTCTGCCAAAGTATCGTAAGCCACATAACTCAAATTTCGGGAATTGAAAACATTTTTTATTTTAAAATCTGTTTTAACCCATATATAACCTATAGGTTTTATAACAAGTAAATAGCTATAATTATAAGCTATTTACTTGTTATAAAACCTTTAGGCTATATTTAATTTCAAACAGTCTTTAAGACAAAAAATGTTTTCGATTCCCGAAATTTTAGTTATGTTGCTTACGATACTTTGGCAGAAAGTCAATTTTACATATATTATATGTAAAATTGTCCGCTGAATCCGAAAATGTCAAAAGTTATAAAAGTTTAAACTTAAAATTTTAAGATATAGCCATTTTTTTATATAATTTGGAATGAACTACCTATATCTCAAGAACTGCTCTACTTTCATAACCTTTGATGGTATTTTCGGATTCAGCGGACAATTTTACAGGAAGTAACTATCTGAGAATCTCAGACTGAGATACAAATTCATATGGACTGCAGTTATTAGTGGCTGCTTTTTCGCTATAATAATTAGTCAAGAGAGTACAATTTTGAAAACATGTTGACTTTAAATCCAAAGTTTGAAGGCGAATAACTTTTTTCCAGTAGGCCAGAACATAAAAGATGTGGTATTCAAAAATTAGATTATTTTGATCACCTAACCAAAATGAACCCAACAAATGTGTTGCCAAATCGCTAGATAGAAGCTAAACAAATAAATAAAAATGTCAATAAGTGAAATAAACTTTCTAAATTTACGGTACTATCTATAGTACTATATATAGTGTATAGTCCGAGTGCACCAAATAACACCTTTGGAGTGCACTATACGCCCAATAAAAAATGTTTAAAAAAAGAATTCGATAAAATTTATATATATTTAATATTTAAAATTAAAATTATCTTTGTCTTAAAATCAATTTTTAAAATAAAAAGTAAAATATGATACCTATCTAAAAAGCAGTGATTTAAAACGGCACAAAAATAATTCAGTTATAAATAAAACTTACACCATTGTCCTATATTTCTTTTACAACATGTCTTATTTTCTTTATTGTATAAATACTTATTAATTTTTTGTTTTTTAGAAAGCGGTCGTTCCGTAGAAGAGTATCGATTTGAAAGTTGACTAACGGCAGCCATTCTGTTTTAAAAATTATATTTTACTTTAACGTTTACTTGTCAAACGTCTATGACAAAACTATAATAAGTATACTTTGTCTGTGTCAAACTGTCAGTGGCGGCTACATGACCACAAGAATCAGGGCCGCCGAGAGGGTATAGGGGGTCTGGGGCAAATTTAATTCTTGAGGCCCCCTGACTATAATCTAATTGTAGGGGTTTGGGGGAAGAAAGGGTAACTTTTTTCACAATAATTAAAACTAAAAAAAAATAAAATTATAAAGTACACCCACACAGAATAATAATAATAAAAAGCTTGAAAAAAACCACTTATGTTACAAAAATAGGCGCGAGTAATTAAGGGATATTTGTAGAAGTATATGGGAAAACGATGGATTCTTTCGGACCCGGTCCTGTACTAGATTCCTTCTAAAGGAACGGGTCGGAACATAGGAACAGGTCGGAACGGACCCAGTCGACACATCTGTTATCTCTGTCTTATATGTTGGTACCTTATAAGAAATAACTTCTAAGGTTGGTACCAGTCGAATATTTGTGTCATTTGTCAAGTGATTAATAAATTCAACTTTATTGTTTTTGTGTGGGTCTGGACTAATATACTTAGTAAATATTATTTAAATAGGATTTAAATCTAATAAAAAGTTTATTATTTATATTGAAAATGCCAGAGCAAATTCAAAGTCAAAACTCCAGTTTATTAAGCTTGGAAGAAAATCAGATGGTACTAAAATTGTTGGGAAATCGATGCCAATCGTTAGCAACTGCGGTAGTACAATTGTACTATACTGAATACCCTCATAATGAATGGATAAAACGTTTCTCTGGAATATTATGTTTTGTAAAAGATAACACTAAAAAAAATTATTTTTTTAGACTACACTGTTTAGTCAAAAATTTACAAGTGTGGGAACAAGAAATGTATGAAAATATGTCCTATATGGAGTCAACAAAATTTTTACATGTATTTGAAGGAGATGAAAGCTTGATTGCCTTTAATTTTGCTAGTAAGGAAGAAGCAAACACTTTTTATAATGCTGTAAACAAAAAAATAGAACTAAGAAAGAAAAGATCAGAAAAGAGATCACTAAATTCTTCAGTTCAAAATAACAACTCCTCTAATACATTTCCAAATTATAATAATAAAAAAGAGGCATATGCATCTAATAAACATTTAAAGAAACGAGGAAAGATCTTAACTAAAGCTGATATTGGAACACCTACCGACTTTAAGCACATATCCCATGTAGGTTGGAACCAAGACTCTGGATTTGATATTGATACTGAAGATCAACAACTTAAAACATTTTTTGATAAGGTAACTTTCTACTAATTAACAATTATTTTTTTATAAAAAACATAAATTTATTTAAGGCTGGAGTTTCTGAAAAACAGCTACAAGATAAAGACACAAGGGAATTTATATATGATTTTATTAATAAACATGGAGGAAGAGAAGCAGTTGAAGAAACAAACAAAAGTCGAAAAGCTCCAATGCCTCCCACAATGGCCTCTGTACCCCCAGTACCACCAAGAGGTTCACAAAAACCTCCTCATGTACGAGTTGCACCACCACCACCACCCAGTAGACCTCCGCCAATACAAAAAGAAAGGTTGGTAATTAAGAATTTTAATAATAAATTTTAAATTCTTCAAATTGAATAGGATTTGTGTTAAATAAATTAAGGCTTTTCACTGTTTTATATACTTACCTACTTATAGGTAAGGTAGGTATTTTCTTAATTTTATTAAAATATTTTTAAGACTTTAAATACCCGATTTGATATTATACTGTGCCACAAAATTTAATAAAAAATAAATGGGCGTTTCTCTGTAAACTGGGCAACTTGAAGTAAGAAATTGTCTAGGCAAGTTTTTTTGTTATATTTTTGTTGTATTTAATAAATGTTATTTGAGGAATAAATATCGGTCTATTTATTAGTATACGGCAGATGAACCAAAAATATTCCTATTACTTTGGAAAACATTTAGCATTTTCTGAAAAATCTATACAGGGGACTGTTTATAAAATCCGGAGACAAAGTTAAGATGACTTTTTTAGAATAACAAAATAATAATTATAAAAAATAAATAAGTCACAGTAACAAGCAAACAATATTGGTTGAATAATTAAACAATTAGGTTGATTCCAATAGTTACTGTCTTTAATTAATTTAGTCTAAAGTGACCATTTTGCTTTGGTGACACGTCAGGGGACTGGTTTTTAAGGACTATAAAAACGATTTTGATACATTAAAGTTTATTTTATTTGATTTTGAACGTCGAGCATAGGTAGATTAGGTTAATAATAATAATAATAAAATACTTTATTCATCCCAAGAAACAATGAGAACTTGTTTAAAGAGGGCATCTCTATATACACGATAGATATTTAATATTGAATACAATTACAAATTTTGAACTTAACTGACTACATATTACCATTATCACATTTATAAATATCACATTTCAGTTACAATCTGTACAGATATACTAACAAAATAAATAAACTTATTATACAAACACACTTATGCTTATTATAACATATGTACATGTTGGATACATGCATCCAACATACTCCACAAACATTTATATTTATCTTGGATGAAAGAAATTTTTTAAAGCCTTAACATTATTTAAGGATTTGACATCGTCAGGCAAGGTGTTATATGTAATTAAGCCTCTATACAAAATAGAGTTTTGTCCATACCTGGAGCCAATTTGTATCAAGTCTAAACTATTAACGTTTCTGGTATTGTGGCTATGTATTTGATTTCTAAACATTACTTTTAGATTAGAATGTTTTTTATTATTTACAACATTCTGTATAAAGGAACAAACTTGATATTTATAGATATTGTCCAAAGGCATAATGTTAAAGTTTCTATACAAATCCTCTGTATGATATCTAACGGGTAAGCAATAAAGATTTTTAATTGATTTATTTTGAAGTGTCTTGATTGGTTTTAGTACTTTTTCATGTGTTGAGTACCATATGGCCGCCAAATACTGAAGGTGGGAGTGAATAAGTGCATAGTAGACTGATCTTAAATACTTCTTAGGGAGTGAACCATTTAATCTGTGTAAAATACCTATTGGGCCAGATATTTTTTGTCTTAATTTTTTAACGTGATCGGAGAATGTTAATGTTTCATCAATTATAAGACCTAAAAACTTTATATTTGAACTATACTTTAAAACACCACCCTCAATATTTAACGGTCGACTACTTGGTATTTTATGCTTGTATATAAACATATACTTGGACTTTTCCACATTTATTATTATCTTTTGAAGTTATCTACGAAATATTTATGATCTGTTATTTTTCTAAACAATATTAGCTTGAGACAATGAGTTGCCCAGTTTACAGAGAAACGCCCAAATAGCTATTTTGGGAGCAGAAAAAATGGATACAGTATTACAAAATATGTTTTTTTTATTTTTTTATATTGGCTTTAATTTTTTTAAATATTTTTAATATTGATTAATTTTTTATCTATGACAAACACAAAGAAGAATTTAAAGCCAATTTTATTTGTTAAACATTTGACAACTGTCAACTGATTTAGCTTCTTTTCCCCAATTTATAATAAAGTTAATTTCAGCCTGTGACTAAAATTCACAAAAGCCACTGCTGCTAACTTCTGCCTGTGACTAAAATGCCATAAAGTTAGCTTGTCAATGTGGGAATAGATAATTACCTAGTATATTATTATACAAGAAATAATGCAGGCTATTATTCCCAAGCTCAAAATATCCGAGTGAATAATGCGCATAATCTCCAATTTAAAATCCAATTGGTTCAAATCATAGTGAATATTAAAATCGGCCAATCACTAATGTCTAACAACGTGAATAATGAGTTCATTATATATATATATTTATATTTTTTATTATTGTTTTAGAACTGAAATACCACCACCGCCAATAATGAATAATAACGCCGCAAATATTTCGGCACCACCGCCTCCACCGCCGCCTATGGATTTCCCCACCCAAATGGATGGAAATATTCCACCACCCCCACCTTTGACTTTAATGGACAGTATTAGGAATGGAGCCAACCTAAAGGTATTTAAAGTATTGACAATTATAATTTAATAATTTGTACTTTTGACAACTTTTTTTTTCTTTTATAAAATATGAAGGCCAAACTTCACAAATGTAATTATGGAACAAAGCTTTAGAAAAAATTCCTATGGGCATTTGTCCAAGAAAGTAAAACTCGAATTTTAAAATGCAGATTAGAGTAAAAATTCCTGAAATTAGGAATGCAAAAATCATTCTTCATTTTTTTTTATTGGAATATGGAAAAACGCTTTTAAATATTTAAATCTAAAAATGACTGTTTTAGTACAAATTTTATTGTTACTAAAATACAGTTTTGTCACAGCTCCAAGTTGGCCTTGAACTAATTTACCAATTCAGGTAAAATTTTGACATTTCAAAGAAGTTGACAGATCACTTTATGGAGCCCAAAAGGGGAAATTGTCAAAACCTGTACAACAAATCGCAGAAATTACGTTTCCTGTTTCGGTACAAATCAAACAATCACAAGTTGTGATTCACAACACCACTGCCCTCTTCTTTTATTAGGAAGCTATTTGTATACATGATAGGCTCCATGGATTGTTTGTTGAAGTTAGAAAATGTCACACAACCACTTGGAATTAATAAATACACCAATAATTTTTAAAATTCTCCTTAATTAAACTAGCAAATTTTCATAGAAGGCTAAAAAAAATAATCGTTGTTTTGGGCAAACTAAGGTAGGGATAGTGCTTTTTATAAAAGCCAGTACCCGGCTAAGGTTTCGCCTAAAATTCACACGGCGGGTTATTTATTTTCCATGCACAAAAATGTACTGTAGGGAGCATAAAAATTAAATTTTATCTAGTTGAGTGAGTATGATTATGAGTATAGAGACGTATAACAGACCCCATCAACGGCACGGCTTCACCCGTGTTTGCTGGTTGCGAATGTCCATTGCGTCCCGTACTGTCCCCTAATTAGGGCTCGAGGGCGAAATGCCAATAGTTTTAGTAGCCATTTCCGAGTTCGCCGGGCCGATGCTATACGCCCAGTAGGGTCATAAAGGAGGTAGGACTGGAGGGATAGATATTTTGGTGCTTGGGGACAATTACGCCGACTCAAATCTAAGTACGACGCGGTACCCCCCTAGACCAGGCAGTTAGTATTACTCCAAACATTTGGGATTACTATATGGAGTTTGGGAGTTATTTTGCTGGAGGACCCTACGTCTTGGTCTACGTTTTTGTCGTTATTGTTCGTGTCCGTGTTCAACTAAGATTGTTCCTGCAAATGTGTCGCCAGGTCGGGCCGTGTCTGCTGAAAATTACATTGCTAAAAATTCGGTAACCGCTGTACGTCGATTGTCTGCCCACTGTGCGTAGCAATTCTTCAGTCTTGAGGCTGAAAACCATCAGATAGTTCAGTAGTCGGATATGTAATGATGTTTTTTTTAATGTTTATTACCGCAGTAGTGCGAAATTTCTATCAAATTTTAGTTATTGTGTTGCCCAAGCACGTTTTTTGGTAGAATTGTATTTTGTCTTTTTTTCTTAATTTCCAAAATGAGGTATTGCATTTATTTATTAGCAAATGACAAGCGCAATTATTCTGTTATACTATATACAGTGTGTCGCACTTAAGATGAAGACACCCCCATATTTTCGTTATTTAAAGAAATAAAGGTTTGAATTTTTTCACATTCATACATGTTGATGGGTCACATTTTTTAAGCTACTCAACTGAAATCTGAACTTTAAACTTGGCCTACTACAAATTCACAAACAGGGCCAGTTCTCGATATTTTGCTTCGCGTTAGAGATATCGAAAAAAGTTATTGGAAAAAGTTGTTCATAATATTATTCTAACCCCATATACCAATTTTTATAACAAAATTCGCATTTTTAATTTTTTTTTATTTTGGTCCACACAAAATTATTACAAGTTCATTTTTTAGTTTGATAATAAGGGAGCCATGGAAAGTAATAATTTGATACTAACTAGTGTTTATGACCGTTAAATAAATAATTAAAACAATTTTTGGAAATTAAAAAAAATCAATTATAATTTATTAAATTAAGAAAATGGTATAAAACAATAATAAAACTAATAAAAATAAATAAATTAGAAATGCGAATTTTGCTATAAAAATCGGTATACGGGGTTAGAATAATATTCTGAACAACTTTTTCTAATAATTTTTTTCGATATTTCTAACGCGAAGCAAAATATCGAAAACTGGCCCCGTTTGTGAATTCGTAGTAGGCCAAGTTTAAAGTTCAGATTTCAGTTGAGTATCTTAAAAAATGTGACCCACCAACATGTATGAATGTGAAAAAATTCAAATCTCTATTCCTTGAAATAGCGAAAATATGGGGGTGTCTTCATCTTAAATGCGACACACTGTATATATACTATAAAATCTAATGTGTTTACAAAATCCATTAGAGTTTGATTAGTATGCTGTTTTTACTATGTTTGGGTTTTCTTGATTTATTGAGTGTTAGTTTATGTTCTAAGTGTCAAATGTTTATTATTGGTCTCGTTTGGGTTAAAATTAAACTTTGTTTTGTTGGGGCCGTTCTTTAAGTTACTGGGTTTCATGCCTTACGCATTTGTTGTTGACAGATTTGTTGTCCTACTCAGCTTTGGTGTATGACCGCGATAGGTTCGAATGGAAAGTTTTGTTTTTTTGTTCGTCTTTTTTCTTTATTATTTTATGGTATTTGGTTAGTATTTTCTTTCTAATGTTTCCATTGTTACTGATGTTTATTGTTTTTTTTTCTTCTAGAGTTTAAGCAGTGTGCCTCTCTTAGGGTTTTAAAGGTATCTGTCGTGTTTAATTTTGCAAATTATGTGTTAGGTCATGCATATGGTTGAGAATACTCAATTTTTGCGGATGGCCTCTTCCCCTCTTGTTTGACCTCTTTTGTTTGTCTAGTGAAAAGCGTCCAATGACAGGTGGTAGGACCGCCCAGAAGCTGACACTTGTCTCTTAACTCTTTCTTATCACTTAACACTTCAATCTTTATTGACCGTTACACTATATTAGATTGCACTTGAAATCGTTTGTTGGTTTTTTCCTCTTTTGTTCGTCCAGTGAAAAGCGTCCAGAGAGGTGGTATGACCGCCCAGAAGCTCACTTGTCACTTAACTCTATCTTATCATTCTTGACCGTAGTTGTTACACTATAATTTGTTTGCACTTCTGCAATTTTTTGAATTTTAAAAAATTGTGAGCGACCCCTTAAAACGCTCCTAAAACATGATTTCCTAGCATATTTTCATAGGGTAAAAATAGTCGTTTTTTTGGGAAATCTTAAAAAAAGCAAAATTTGACAGCCACCTAAATGTTATTAAGCCTTAAAGTTATATATTTAAATATTAAAAAAAATTAGTAAAAAACAAAATTTTCTGAGGTATCTAACAAAATAATTGTATGTATTTAAATAAACTCGTCTATACATTTTTTTGTATTTTTATACCAATTTAGAGTTTTCCTTAGTATTGTTTTATTTTTAATTTTCTTTTAGCCTTGCGAGGAAAGGGTTATATCAGCAGCAGCTCCGCAAGAGGACGGAAGAAATGCTTTACTGGATCAAATCCGTAAAGGAATCACTTTAAAGCGACCGGAAGAGCGAGAATTACCTTCGAAAGTGCCTCCTCAGAAGCCTGCAAGTGACGGTTGTGACCTTGCTGGTGCCTTACAAAGGGCATTAGCCGAGCGCAAACTGGCTTTGACTCAATCCGAAGATGATGACGACGACGATGATTCCAACGATGAAGAATGGAGCGATTAAACGCGAGCATTTTTTATTTTTATCTGCACTTTTGAAATATTTTTTATGTAGATTATTATACTTTATTGTGTTAAATGCGACTTTTTTTAAGTGTACAAGGTTTATATTTATACATATTATTATTACTCAACAAATTATTTCATTGCAAAAATATAATTTATAAAAATTATTTTTTTTTTGCCTTTTTACATTTTTGCAATAAACTCTGCCAACAAACCCTGTATGTTACTTGCATATACATATAACTATAAGTTATAGGTATATGGTTACTTGTAAATAGTTTCCGACCAAAGTTTCGGTTTCGGCTGGAAATGCTGGTTTCGGACACCATGTACCAAAAAACATCAATAAATTTTGTAATTTTTTCGTAGTTTTCAAAAGTTTTAATCAAATTAAAATTTTAATTAAAACTTAATAGTAATATTTAGTAAATATGTTTTTAAATACCTACAAGCGTTCCTAGCGAACAAATGTTCAGGGTTCAAGCAAATTTACACAGATCGTCGAAGTAATCTGCTGGATAAAAATGCGAAAAAAAAATTTTCTTAGCTTCTAAAGAACTGGTAATTCTTGGTAACTTATTAATAAATAAAGTGATTTATTTATTTAATTTAATCAAATAATCTGTTACAAAGTTAGGAAAACTAGATTCTAACGTATATTGAAATTTTAACTAAATTAAATTTTAACTTTTAACTACATAAGATTTGGTTACGGTTTCGGCTGAAAATCGTCTTTCGGTCCGACACTACTTATAAGCATATATGCTTTACAATTATCTAATGCCTAAACAATTTATATTTATTTTATAAACAAAATATAGAACTTGAAAACACAATAAATTATTTTATTTTTCAATAAAAAAATAATTAAATCCAATACATTCATTTATGAATGTATTGCATTTAATTTTTATTATATATTAGTTGTTAAGTGCAAAGATGGAGTGGACCAATTGATAGATGAATATGAAAATCACTTTTATTATGGAATGCCAAAATGGGCTGTATTTTAATAAAAATAAAAAGTTTGACGCTTGTGAAGTGATTTGCGATGATTTAAAAATTATATTTTTCTACTCCTATTGCATATTATAGACATTATTTGGGTTTTTTCGTAAATAATGGTAACCAATATATTGATATATCACTGCCCTGCTTAACAACGTGAATAATGAACTCAATATTCAAGTTGTTATAACAACTATAGGCATCAGTGAATTTCAAACATTCGCCGCGACGACTGTACAATGTACAGTGTACATGTTCTGCAGTGTACAGTGCAGTGCAGAAATTAAAATAAAATTTAAAAAAACAAAATAAATCAAAATTAAATCTTTTTTTTGCATTGTGCAAGAAATGTACTAAACCAAGGACTCGAGTCCTTATAAAGATCATTAGCTTAAGCTAATCACAATGTGTGGATTGTGAAGCTAATGATCTTTATAAGGACTCCATAACAGAAACCCAAACTGCTGCTGATAATGAAATGGCCCGGGATTGAAATACCCCAAAAGCATAAAAAACAGCTTTAAATAAAAAACTAGGTATTAATTGCAATTATTTGTAAATACGATTTTGTAATAAATAAATTTAGAAAAAATGTTTACATTTTTATCGCTATGTTAATGTTGTAACTTGACACTTTTTTCAATTAAAAGAAGATAGAAGTTTGAAAATCCATTATTTGAAACATTTTACATAGTTCTTTTTTATCTGGACTGCGGCAACGTTGCAAATTTAGGGTTTTGGTTGGTAAATACAATTGTCAAGTTGGTCGCATTGATTAAAACAAACTAAGCTAGTTATAAATCTAATTGTGGTTATGTATAAAACACGAGTCCAGATAAAAAAAATGAACTGTACTCACAGACCTGTGACTGTACTACAGGTATAGGTACTACAGTTACTGTAGTACTATACCACAGAATATTCTGTGCCTATACCTAAAAACTAAAATTTAATTTTTCTTGTCACTTTGTTTCATATATTTTATTTGGTATTTAGTAAATATTATTTGCTTTAAAACCATATATTTTATTTTAATTGAATAGGTACCCATATGAAATATGTTTTTTAATTAATAATATTTTCTTGAAATATTAATATTGTGACAGCTCGTTTTTTACGTGTGATCTTCAAATTATTCGAAAATTATAGTTACTGTGCATTTAATTTGTGCCCGATATAATATTTTACGTCAGAGACAAGTCTCTGTAATACGTCTTCGGCGTTAAAGTAATCCGAGTTGCCTACATTACATAAAACTTTTACATTGTATTGGTTTTATAATCTACTATTTTAACGTGATTCTACTGGATTGTTAGCATGTGCAGTTTGGGTTTGTGTCAAAACATGTCTAAAACCTCGTGATTAATGTCACGTGCGTAATTCTCTCGCAAATATCAGAGTTATCTCTGCAAATTGTTCATCTCTTTAGATCCCAATGGGAGTGGTCTGTTTTCGCGCAGTGACAAACCGGGATCAAGGGAACTGTGAGCGCCTACTGGTACGAAGTTGTATACAATTTGTTCGGTCGCGGGTATCTTGTGGGATAGAAACTAAATTATTAACTGTTTTGTGTGACTATTTGATCTTGTAGTTAAATTAATTATAACAAGTGGTTTGTTAAGTGTTATTGAAGAAACTTTGATCAAAGTGCCTATATAGTGCGTGTAAATTACTGTCACGGGAAAAAGAATAGTGTAAACATTAAATCGCCCTTATCGATTCTTACCTTTCTTCAATGAATTTTGCCACTTATATGAACTCAAAATACATAATCCATTAAGCAAGTGTAAGTGTTTGAAAAAAAAATACCTTTGTTGGTTAATGTTGTAACAGTTAAATATATTTAACAAGTAGGTTGCTGCTTATTTGATTAAATTCATTAAATCAATTTGAAGTAGATTAATACTAGTGGAGGTCAGATTTATTTTAAGTGGCTTGATTAGCTGCTGTATATATTTCATTCTAGGTATTTTGGGGTTGAAGTTATTTACCTTATTATTATTTCTACCATATCATTATTATTAGATTTTTAAATTATACATTATAACATAAACAGTTTAATTTGTTAAATTAGTTTATTAATAAACTAAATTTAAGGCGATTTAATTATTAGGTACCTAATAATTATTATATTCTCTGCATTTACGAAACAAACATTATTTATTAGGCCAGGTTGGGCAGATACTCCCTTGTCTCTGATGTTGGGGTTTCCTTGTGATAAATAAGTTGTCTGACAGAATTTTTGTAGGTTAGAAAATTCCTATTACAATTTCATTCTTATTTGTTATCAGTAAGATGATCCCGACCCACCACAAATAGCCCAGTTATTCTAGACAAAAAAGCACCTAAATTGAAAAAAAAACAGGTTAATTTTGATGCAATTTCGTAAAACCCTTTCTGAGGAACCTGAAAGTGTAGATTGCAACAAATTGGGTAGTTTATAATTAATTAAAAATAAACTCTAAACAAATAGACATAAAATAAATATTAAGAGTTTCATTGCTGCTCCATAAATAGGATATCAAAAACTTTGTTTTTTAACAAGCGCAGTGACCATTTCAACATTTTACACCTTAAATTAAGTGGCAAGCCATTAACGAAGCTAGGAAGGATATAAGAAAGAGACCTTTTAAATAACTCAGTATGATGCTACTGTTATGGCGTTTTTAAATCAAGTATTTAAATTATGAATATCAGTATGGTACAAAACTTTTCGATGTAGGTAAGTAGCCTGGTGCCTTAGTTTTAAGAAGGTTTTAAAAGAAACAAATTAAATGAATTTTTCGCCTGTTTTCCATATTGAACCACTTATATTTATTAGGGTGTAACTAATTTTATAATACTTCCCTATGCCAAATATTAATAAAAGGCAGCAATTTTGCAATCTTTGGATTTGGAAAGCATCGTATTTTGTAAGACATGGACCATAGACAGTATCACAATAATTTAATAAGAATAAAACCAACCTAATTTTCTGCGGTCTCCGAGTATGATTTCCTTATATTAGACGTGGATTTTTGTCAGCCCAATTTCTGTTAACATCACATTTTCCACGTACTATTTCACAAAATTCCAACCTTCTATCGAAGTCACCTTCATTCAATTCCTGAACTAGGTGAAACTTATAGGGAAATTTTTTTCTTTTAAAAGCTGGACTAATTTCATGTACCTGACTCGCTTTTAATAAGGAACTTGAAGGTTCTTCAATAAAAGACAGTAACACTTCTCGGAAGATCTCACAGTTCTTTCTACTGTTGATTTAGAAATCGGGGGTCGGTAATGAAAAAAAATCATTGAAGACGTGCCGCACCTTATCATAAGATCTTGTTCTATCCCCAAAGCCATGAATCATTAAAAGAGTGATTCTTTCTTTTTCGGTAAATTTTTGCGCCATTTTTAGAGTTAAAGTAAAATTTAGAAAACAAGTTCGGTTTAACTAAATAATAAAAGTAAGAACGTAGGCGCAAATTAAACACAGCAATTTATATCATGTCAATAAAAACATCCATGTTCCCTGCTTAAAATACCCCATAGTATGGTGTTTCTATAGGGTGTATTGGTATGTATGGGACCCATAGTTGGGATTTATGGTTGTTCTATAGGGATATCCACCCTTGATTTATTTGCTATTGGTTTCAATGGGGAAAATACACATACATGTAGAAATTAGTTTTTCCCCCATAGGACCCCATAGGTTTTTATAAAATTTTGTCAAATGTTTTATGGTTGCTCTATAGGGATATCCCTATATATCCTTCATTGAGTTATTTGCTATTGGTCTCAATAGGGAAAATGTAAAAGTTATGGTGTGCCTATAGGTAATTTCCTATAAATTTTCTATCGGACCGATCCGGAAAAAACCATGGACAAATGCACAAATTGAATCCGGTAGCGCCCGATAAATTATTTTGTATGGGTCTCTATTGGGTATTTTAAGCAGGGTTTTGTATTATTACTTTTTATGTTAAATTTCTTAGTGCAAAAAAAACAATAAAAACATTAAATAAATTAAAATATTTTATTTTCCCATTTGGTAGTTAAGCCCTCATAATTCTTGAAACAATAAAAGATATCTGGTTTTAGTTTATGGGGTTGTGTTTATTTTTTCATTTAAAATGTTGGGGTGGTCATCCCCTAAAAAAACTCCACGTTGCATGGAACTTATCTAAGAATGTTGTTTTTATAATCCTATATTAATCCCCAAATTTTCAATTTTTTTTTCTTAAAATTTATAGCTCCATTCCTGGACTTTTGGGAAGTCCTGTACATATATATACAGGGTACATATGTATACAGGGTGTTATTTAAGTACGTGGCCAAACTTTAGGGGACGATTCTTTGAATGATTCCAAGACGAAAAGTTCCGTTTTTAACATACAGGGTCAAAACTTAAAAAAAATCGTTTTTTTCCCAAATATCTTTATAATACTTTAGCCGATTTTGTTGAAATTTAATAGTCTTATCAAGGGTAGAAGGGGGCTAATTTAGCCTAACTAGATTAAAATTATTAAGTCCAGTAGCGTCCCCGAAACAATATTTTTTAAAAACGAAGCAATATACCTACGAAAAATATGATAAAGATAAAAAAGTTTTATTTTTAGTTCCTTAATGTGAAAAAATATAAAAATTGCAAAAAAGTCAGTGGCGCACATTTTTTTGTAAAAAATATGGATTCAGGTGTTTTTAGGCCACTGGCATGGGCGCCGGAAGAAATTCGTCTAGGGGGGGGCCTTAAAGTTTTTTACAATTTTGATAGATGTTATTTATAATCAAGTTGTACTGTAGAAGTTCACATTAAACTTAAGTCAAATAAAATATCATTTTTATATGTATATTTACATTTAATATATGTATATTTATCTATAAATCTAAATCCATAAATCCACACCATAAACTGGATCTAAATCCTCAATCATAAATCCATTACGTTATCTGGATTTAAATCATAAATCCTAAATCCACTTGCAAAAAAGGATTTAAATCCTAAATCCATAAATAAATCCTCTATTTTTTAAATATTTATTTCATTAATTTTTCAAGAACAGTTTCCGGATTATTTCACTTTTTAAGTTTTATTTAAGCTAAAACCCCTTGGATTCCAAATCAAAATTGATATGAACCTTATTGCACGTATATAAGATTCCATCGAAGATCTTTGGAATATGAACATAATGACCCGGAAAACAATCGGGATTTCCTGGTGAAGTCATGATGATAGTGCATACACATGCTTCATCACAGTGATATCATGTAGATCTCACGGTGTGATATTTGCAAAATTTGCACATGCGTATTAGACCTGCGAACTGCGAATTTAAAACCTACCCGGACAACATTCGTGATATTCATACGAACATCACGTCGTGATTTTCACAAATTTTATTCATACTGATATCATACGGAAGTCACCGCATAATAAATGAAAATCATACGAACGTCACGTCGTGATTTTCACAAATTTTGTTCATACGGACATCATCCGGATGTCACTGCGTGAGAAATAAAAATCATGTCGTGATTTTTTATGCCAACGGTGTTTGGATAATCATTTTTGCGCCACGTTCGTACACTAAGAGAAAAATTATGTTGAATCAACAGTTTTTGCGGTTAAATACATTTAATATTTTCTTGGATTTAAATTAACTATAGAATTAATTTAAATCCAAGAAAATATTGAATGTTAAACTGTTGATTCAATTGTTAACATACTTTTTCTTTCAATGTACGTATGTGTCCCAAAAATGAATATCCAAACTCCGATGGCATAAAAAATCATGTCGTAATTTTTTATGCCATCGGTGTTTGGATATTTATTTTTGCGCCACATTCGTACATTGAGAGAAAAAGTATACCTACATATATATTGAATCAACAGTTTTTGTAGTTAAATACATTCAATATTTTCTTGGATTTAAATTAACTATAATATAGTTAATTTAAATCCAAGAAAATATTTAATGTTTTTAACCGGAAAAACTGTTGATTTAACATAATTCTTCTCTTAGTATACGAACGTGGCGCAAAAATGATTATCCAAACACCGTTGGCATAAAAAATCAAGACATGATTTTTTAGGCCATCGGTCAATCGCAAACAGCGATGGCATAAAAATCACGACATGATTTTCATTTCTCACGCAGTGACATCCGGATGATGTCCGTATGAATAAAATTTGTGGAAATCACGACGTGACGTTCGTATGATTTTCATTTATCACGCGGTGACTTCCGTATGATATCAGTAAGAATAAAACTTGTGAAAATCACGACATAATGTTGGTATGAATATCACGAATGTTGTCCGGGGATCTGTGGCTTCTGCTTTCTTTGCCATAGGATTATGAACGAAATCAGTAAACTGTGCTTCTGATTTCTTTGAACAGCCAGCCATTTCATTCATTTTACAACTGTAACAACACTAGTGCTCATTAAGACGGCACAAATCTAAGTTAAATTATATAAGATAACAAATCTAATTTATCTAAAAAATAATGAACAAATGATAACGATCAGCACTTACCGTCAAATTATGGAGTACCGGAATTTCTGAGTATGAATTTCCAGGGGGGGGCCCGGGCCCCCCCCTGCCCCTATGTAGCGGCGCCCATGGCCACTGGACTTAATAATTTTAATCTAGTTACTAGTCTTAATAACACTATTAAATTTTAACAAAATCGGCTGAAGGATTATTAAGATATTTGGGGAAAAACGATTTTTTTTGTTGAAAACGGAGCATTTCCGGACCTACCTATGTTTACATGAACTTTCGTCTTAAAATTACTCAATG